GAGAGAGAGAGAGAGGGAGGTCGATTTGGCGGACGTAATTAGCCGCTTCCGACATCCGGTCGAAGCGCGGTTGGTAACTGGCGCGTCGAAAATTTTCCCGAGAAAATTACTGCGATCGCGTCTACGGCGCCTCGCTCCCGGCGGATACCACGCCGTAAAATTTCACGGTATCATACCGCGAACAATATCTCGATATTCCCGCTTTCGAAGCCGCGTTGCGGATACGATGCCCCGAGGGCCTCCGTCATGGTTACTTTTGTTCTACGACTATGGCGGAGGTTCCGCCGATCCCGTCGTCTCCGTTACGCGGCTTTCCGATAGTCGAAACGTCAACGCGCGCATGTAATGCATATAATGCATGGCGATGCGCGCGTAACACGCAGGTAAAGCAACGACGCAATCAATATATAACGAGGCAAACGTATGCGGAAAATAGACGCGTAAATTATGCGCGCCTGAAAATTATATTCACTGTTCTGTTAACACGAGAGGAAGGTATAATTTCTCGTATATATACGTATACGTATCGGCGATATACTATAATTGATATCGCTGTATTACGCATAATAGATTATAATGTAACGTTACGTTTTCTTTCTTTTTTTGAATAAATTTGTCGAACGACAGACGGAAAAAGTGATTAAGTGAATAAGCCGGGGAGAACGAAATGTAAAAATTGCGAGCGAGTGGAAAATAATTGAGCGATATCTGGACGATAGTATTGACTATACGCCAGAAATCTTATCAAAAAATATAAAATTTTTCATGGTATCGTATCGCGAACAGTATTCCCGATATTCTCCGTTCCGCAGCATCGCTAGTACGATACCGCAGGGGCTTCCATTACTGTTATTCTCGACCTGCAGTCGTTCGAGTTCACTACCATGAATAAATACAGTCTTTTCGGACCAGAATTTTGAGTCTTTATACTTTTGATACAAACATCTTATAGATAACGATAAAACGTATTCGCTTCATCGCTTCGTTTTACGCGAGCATTGTATTTTACATATTTTACATATCATTTAGTAGTATCATACAATTATAGTTATTTTTAATTAATTTATCTTTAATGACAAGTCGCGACGTTTCCATTACGAGATCGTCAATTCGTAATCGCGAGTGACGGTGGCAAGGCTTCGTAAATAACAGGCTGTCGTTGCACGATACCAATGAGATTTCTCGGAGTAAACACCCGAAATGTCGACAACAGGAACTAAGTAATATTCCTGACAGTACGATCTAAAATGTTAATTTGTCGAATAGTCGCGCGAAATGGGCGAAGAACCTAATTCACCGGGATAGCCGAGTGCAAATTAACGACGCCGTTCAGCGTTCTATTTGGGAATAGGATTAACGAAATACTTAATGCAATCGCGCTCAATCTTCATTTAGTCGCGTATTCACGAAAACGAAATTAAGTCTTATGCAAGAATAAACGTCTATCATTGTCAGGGGGAATAATTAATTTCTTCGCTTTGATGCTTGAAATCACCGCTGTTCTCCAGATAACAAGAGGGTCTCAACGGCGGAATTTCATGAATCTGTGTCTAAATAGAATTTCTCATTCGTACTTTCTCTCTGTGGAGAAACGCGTTTACCAATGTATGTAAACGCCTCAACTTGTAATTTGATAAGCCCGGATGCTAATCTCTTGAACATTTTAGCTTCAATTTCGCTTCATAACGTTTTAAAAAAATCAATAAGCAGTTATCCTCTTATAATTCGGACAAAAATACAGAAAGAAAAGAATAACTATTCTTTCGCTTTCCGCTTTTTATTGCCTCTATCCATTTTTAATGTTATAATTATTTGATAGAGAAACATCGATGTTCATCAAGAATATCATGACTGTATAAAAATAACAGTTGTTATTTACGTCTACTGAAATGTTAACTTTTTCTAACAGAATCAACGCTAAAGTTTTTTTGAGGAGAGAATGTAAAGCTATATTTAAAATTTTAATTTAGCTAATAAGCTATAAGTAAAAAGTAAATAATGAATTACTATTAGTTGTGTAAGAACGTCACTCTGGGATTATTCACTGTCGCTCTGCAAACCTCAATTCTTCGCAGCCGACGCTTCGTCCCGACGCGAGGATTACTCTCGAGGGGCCGACGAGCGCAAGAGCACTACGTGTATAAGAGTCGTCAAATTATTCTGGACGTACTTGTCGACGGTCGTGCATCCACCTGACGTCGGGAAACTCTCTTTGGGATATATCGTGGTTTGTTTACCCGAAACTAACGTCCCTGTGTGTTGCCAGGAAATCCGTCTCTGTCACTTCGTATACAAAGGACTTGGGGGACGGTGTTGGCGAACGCGAGGACGGGATAAGGGGGACAAGCGATGGCGGACGGAAGAGTGTCATATAACGACAGCTTATTTCGCACGACGTACCCCGGACGTCGATGACCAGGAGTGACCGGCAGATAAACGACGAATCCGAGGTGGGTGGGAGGCTTGAAGATCGAAGCCGAGTTCATGGAGCGATCGAATCGCTTACTTCCGCCGACTCGCCGGATCGCTGGCAGTTTATTTCCGCCCCGGCGTGGAAGCGGCGAGAGTCGATGGGCTCGAGGGGCGCGTTGTCCTAACGATGTGATTTATCGTCGTCTACGAGCCCTGACAGGTCCCCGTCATCGTCGGTACACAGACAGCAGGTCGCCCACGTCGATTTCTAGCTTATCGCGCAACCGGCGGTGATAAGCGGCTTACTGGAAGTCTGTCGAAGAGCAAACCATCGGCGGCGTTGCTGAAATAGCGCAAACAACGGAAATCGCGCGGCTTAAGGACGGGCTGCAGCGGCTGCGTCGCTCGACGATCAGACACGCGATCTATAGACTCGTACGTGTAGAGAGTCGGAGATCGCCTTGATTTCCTCGGAATTTTCGTCATATTCCTCTCGTAACGTGAAACATTAATATCTAAAGAGAGATCGATTTGATATATATATATATATATATATATATATATATATACACACGCACATACATCCGATAGTATATTTGATACTTTTGATATTCACTTCATTTATTTATAATTGGGCCAAAGTTAATATTCTATACGACTAAGCCGTTCACATCGCGTGCGAATATTGCGGCCGTATGACGTTGTTAGTAAGTGCCAATTTAGCCATCGGCTGGCGAACCAATTCACCAACCTGTCAAACTGTCAGCGTGGCGGGCACGCGAACATGCGCGAGTGTCCAACGAATCCGTATACCGAGCATAGCGCACGTCGACGTCGGGCAACGACGTCGGACAATTTTTAGCTGCGTCGAGAGGACTCATTAACTGAAATAAGTCGGAGTCGTGGAAAATGAAATGCCAGACTTGTCCGGAAGAGATTAATCCCTTTTTAATACTTACCCCGACTTTGTCGTACTGGCGGAAACTTTAATAGTTAACGCTAATCTAATTGCTTACGACGAACGGAATATCGCATGGGATCGTATAATGTAAATGACAACAGCGAGAACGTGCATATTAAACAACAAGATTTATTATCCGTATATACAAACGTTTACATACCCATTTGACCATTTAATTAACCACGAAGCACGATAAAACATCCGTAGACAAAACATTTACGCTCCTCCAGACATTCGCGGATAATTTTACGGGAAGGCTTCCGACGAGAGACAGAGGTGGTAGGAAATCTTTCTTTTTTTTTTCTCTCTTTTTTTTTCTAAACGGCGGAAAATTATTGTCTCTGTACACCGCGCGTGATCGCGCCCTGGCGTCCCAAGTATCACGTTTTCCTTAGAACGAAGCTAACGCGGCTATCTCTTACGGCTAGGTGAAAAACAAGAATAGGAATGTCGAATCGACGTGCCGATCGTAAGGTGGATCCTTAACGGTATTTATTGTCTATTTACAAACGTCGTTAATCGCATACGACGGTTTGGCGAGTATCGGAGGGTACTGACCCGGATAGCCGAGCGCAGGGAGTCTCTCTACCTCCGTCTATATACAACTCTCCTGTACACGCAGACTCCTCGTGTAGATATCGTGGGTGCGATGCACCGGCAGCGTGCTGGGCCGTATCGGACTCAGGCTCTTCTCGCTCTTTTCCACGTAGCCGTTCGGATAGATCCAGGAGTCCTTGGCGTGAAGCACCGAGGAGGGCGACGGATAATCGAGGTCCTCGAGGCACCTGAAGTCCTTGGCTCTCTCCGACGACTTGCTGGACGTGTAGTCCGGCTCAAAGATGTCCGGCCGTCTCTCGACGGTCTTGCTCGGTATCACGTCCGGATCGTCGTCCGGTACGTCCACGTTTATCTGCTCCTTCAAGTCGTCCCGGCGAGCCTGATTCGTCGCCGGCGGCGCCGCCGGCCGGTCATCCTTGCTCTCGTATTGCAGCGGCTCCGTCGTCTGTGCCTTCGTCCTCTGCGTTGGATGGTTTCGACGGTACAGAGTCAGCGTTATCCCGACGATCAGAATGCAAATGGCGGTTACACCGCCGGCGAAGCACGCCACCAGGAGGCTATAATCCGTTGTCTCGTCCGAAATCCCACGACCTGTAGGACGACGAAGCGTAAAAAAAAGGTATGACTCGCTTGGAAATGTCCGATAGGAGTTATTTTTGTAAGAATAACAGGATTTTAGGATATATATTGTTAGATCGTGTGTATTAATAGCGTAACCTGTTTCCAAAACGGTAATCTAATAAGGCAGACAAATTTTCAACGATGGATTTTAAGTAACTTGACAGTAAAAGTTGACGGACGAAGTCTAAAAGAGAGAGACTAGATCTCCTCGTCTCGATAAAATGCTCGATATCCGCGCGAGAAGAAGGAATTTTGCTATCGCGGCAAAACCGTCCCTGCTGCTGTTGCTGCACATTCGACGTGAGAGTGACCAATTTCACTAACCAATTATTCGATATTGCAGCAAAATCTGTTTCGTTGATAAAATAAAAAGGTTCTTACCCGTGCGCATGTGTGTGCGAGTGAAATTTGTTCGCGGAAAACAAATTTGCCGTTAAAGCAAATTCAATTTGCTGCCAAAGCAAAATAGTCCATTTCGAACGAATGCATTTTGCTATTAATGTGCATTTAACGGTTTTCTCTTGAAACGCTCGCTTGACATAATTAACATATATGAACATTAGCATTACATAGCGATACAAGAAGCATTTTACCGATCCTATTGCTGTTTACGCCGCTAAAGTACGCACAGCTTCATTCGCTTATACTCGGATGATGACGATACTTGTGAGATGAGCACGGCGCGTGCGTTATCGATCGCACATACGAATGTCAAGTTAGTTTTGGACCATCGACAGTGCGCGCACATCACAATTCGATAATTAAGCGGCAATCAGCCACATCGAATTAGTGCGTAACGATGGGAATGCGCTTCAACGTTTTCTTTTTGGATTCCAGCAAATCGATTTCCATTAAACGGCAAATTTCGTATCGGCAATTTGCGTCGCAAGAGACGTTTTATCCGCGCGCAATGCATTATGGACACTTTAACATTACACGAGACGAAAATCCACATAATGAGGAATCATCGTGCAAATTTCACGAGGTAAAACCCGATAATAATTCCAACGATAGCTCTCTATATTTAATGCGGGAAAGTAAATTGGAAAACTTATCGCGGAATCCGGAAAAGTGTATCTTATATTAATTATCAGGTTTTCATTACCGTCTACGATTATAACATCGAATTCCGGATTTATTCAGCTCGGATTATCGCGATATCTAAATCCGCTGGTCGTACACTCCTCTCGGGATTAACAGCTGACCGTTGCGCGCAAAACGTGCGATTTCCCGACGTATATATATATATATACATATATATATATATATATATACATATATATATATATATATATATATATATATATATATATATATCTA